AAGAAATTTCAAAATTTCTCATCAGTACTTCAAAAACAGTCTACAAAACACACATATTTAAGTCTCTTACCATTACAACATTTCCTACCGTTACATATAGAATACTAGAAAAATATAAAATAATAAAAATCAAAGCATGCAACAAAAATACTCACCATAAATAAAAACTAAAATCAAAAAATCCCTAGAAATATCCAAAATCATAGAAAATTCCGAAAATTCCTCATCGATACTTCAAAAACACCCAATAGAAAACGCACGCGACTGCGCAAGCAGCCCGGAAGCCAGCGACCGCACAAAATCAGACGATCGACATCCGTCAGCGACCATAATCAAAATCCAGCGTGCAGAATTATTCCGGCAACAGAACCATTCGTGAAAATTCCGCAAAAGTGAATGGGTATGACCACGGTGGAGGCTTCCTGCGACTGCAATGGCACCAGCGCGGCGCCCCAACAGACCCTTAAATGTTACATCGCGGGAAAAGAGTCTCTGCCGTGTACCCCGATCCTCAAGACCTCGTTGAGGGCCAGATGCGGCGGTCGTCGCATGCTAATTTCCATTATCATACTCTTCGCCATCCTGGCTGTCCTCTATTGCCTCTCCCTGTCCTGCCAACGAGCGCAAGCCTTAGGCAGATCGAGAGGAGCTGAAGATAGAGTCGAAGGGGCTTCCCAGGGGGGGAGTCCCGATCAGGACGGCCAAGTCTCGGAGTACAGACAGATTATGGACTGAACGTACGAGTGTTTCGAGTAATTTGAACATTTTCACGAACGTGAATTTCTTTTTTAATAGCGTCAGAAGATTTTTGTTGATTTTTTGTAGAGGTGAGAAAAATGGAATACATTTTTAGAGGGAGGATAGTGATGCTTGGAGGATTGTTAGCCTGTTAACTGGGTTCAATTCTCGAGAAGAAGCTATTTAGAAGCTAGTTTGTAACAAAAAATTAATAGAAATTAGGATTAATTGGTTCATTTCGGTTCTTGCAAATGTGAATATTAATATTAAAGTAAGTAATTAAAGTAATTAAAGATGAACAATCTCTAAGTAACTAAAGTATTGCGTTCTAAATTTGTGAACCAATGACGAGTTAACTCATCTGCCTCGGTTAACAGGTTAAGAGCGCTATTACAGAGAAATATACGCTTAATATTTTATTTAAAGCGTAGATAGAGCTAATGAAGTGACGTGACCTCGTATTGACGTAACTGTAACTGTCTTAATTTATTAAAAATCAACTCGGTTAATCCTTATGTCGATAACCACAATTGCCGTCCGCTTTATCGTCCAATTTTACCAGTTTTCTGATAAGAAAAGTAGGAAATGTGGCGCATAACAACGATCTGACCAGATATTCGAATCTTTTACCGGGAAGATAAAGTATTTTAAGTGAAAATTTTCAAAAGGGTACCCGGTTATCGACACAAGGGTTAAGAGATTAATTTTATTGTTCGAATAACCTGTACTAACAGCTTCGAACATTTTACTCTCCACAGACAGAGCCCCGAATAACGAAGATTAGAATATAAATAATTCTAAACGACCAAAACCACTAATACCGTCGAAGTTACGATTGGATTCGTTGGAATCGACAGAATTCCATATCTCTCTACAACCAAAGCCCCGAATAACGAAGATTAGAACAGAAATAATCCTAAATACCGGTAATTTTCATCGAACCTCTGCCTGGGTCAAAAGTGACCCAATCGAAGCTCCGATTGGATATGTTGGAATCGACACAATTCCACGTCTCTCTACAGACAAATACCCGAAAAACGAAGATTAGAATATAGACAATCCTAAACGCGAGTAATTTTCGTCAAACCTCTATCTGGGTCAAAAATGACCCAAACCACCGATACCATCATTGGTGCGATTAAATTCGTTGGAATCGACAGAGTTCCCTGTCTCTCTACAGCCAAAGCCCCGAATAACGAAGATTAGAACACAAATAATCCGAAATACCGGTAATTTTCGTCGAACCTCTGCCTGGGTCAAAAATGACCCAATCGAAGTTACGATTGGATTTGTTGGAATCGACACAATTCCACGTCTCCCTACGAAAAACGAAGATTAGAATATAGACAATCGCAAATACGACTAATTTTCGTAAACCCTCTGTCTGAGTCAATCGAAGCTCCGATTAGATTCCTTAGAATCGACAGAGTTCCACGTCGATCCAAAAAATTCGCAAAACGTCTGTATCCGTTGTAAAGCCCGTACGTAAGACCGAAACAGTACTGTAGAAGAGAAGATCAAACGTTCCGTTTTCTCCTGGATAACGAATGTGGCGAGCGCGGTGAGCGGCGCATATACATAAATCCGTGTCCGAAACAGAACCGCCGTGGAGTCCCAGTACACATTTTTCATCCGCAACATTATTCGAGGCGAAAATAATGTTACAATTCACAGAACAACGCCGATACCAACTGCAGGCGGACGGAGCGTGCGAGAGGTCACGCGTTCCTCTGATCTACATTTTAATCTTCTCGCGCCGATATTAGAGGGGAATCATGGAAAAAGTGGAGAAATCGAATTTAACCGCACGAAAGAAATTCATCGCGTCGTTCTAAACGACTGCAAATAACGAACTTCATTTCGGCGATGATATACAATAGAAATTTACAGCTAAAGAATTTTTTACAAGCGTTACCGTTGTAACCGTGGAAACGAAAATATATTAGATTAACCCTTTCGATACTACGGGTGACTATAGTCACCCATCGTTTGACGCTCGCTGTGTACTATCAGTCGCTATAATCACCCAAAGTCTGGTGCTCGCTGGGTGCTATCAGTGACTATAGTCACTCAAAGGCCGGTGCTCGCTGTGTGCTATCAGTGACTATAGTCACCCAAAGTCTGGTGCTCGCTGTGTGCTATCAGTGACTATAGTCACCCAAAGGCCGGTGCTCGCTGTGTGCTATCAGTGACTATAGTCACCCAAAGGCCGGTGCTCGCTGTGTACTATCAGTGACTATAATCACTCAAAGGCCGGTGCTCGCTGTGTGCTATCAGTGACTATAATCACTCAAAGGCCGGTGCTCGCTGTGTGCTATCAGTGACTATAGGCACTCAAAGGCCGGTGCTCGCTATGTGCTATCAGTGACTATAGGCACCCTAAAGGCCGGTGCTCGCTGTGTGCTATCAGTGACTATAATCACCCAAAGGCCGGTGCTCGCTGTGTGCTATCAGTGACTATAGTCACCCAAAGTCTGGTGCTCGCTGTGTACTGCAGTAAACAATTTTTAAAATCTGAATATTTTCCAATTACATTACATTGTAATATCCCGTCCTGTATCTACTCCGCGATAAAATATACGTTCGCGTTGTAACTGACCCGTACGGTCGAACCTTATTCGCGAGGAGAGTATCCGTAGAGCGGAAGCATATTCGTGAACGACATTGCCGTATCGAAAGGGTTAAAGCAGGGGTTCCCAAAGTGCGGCTCGCGATGACAGATCAGCCGCGATCTTGAATTTGCAGAGATAATTTACATTTTTACAAAAAATAAATAAATTTTATCATATTATAATTAAAAATTGTTCGGTTAAAAAAATACTAAATTTTACATGTAATATATTAGGTTGTCCGGGAATAAATTGCGGCTTTCTGTTAAGTCATTTTTAGGGCTTTTCTATACTATATATTTTAAACTTGCGTTTATTAAGTAATACACCATTTGAACGCGTAGACGTCGCTCTATCGGATAAGCGATACACTTTTGTTTTTTACCGTCATTTGTTCTGAGTACAGTCAACCCTCCTATAACGCGATTAATTCGTACCGCGTTATATGAAAACCGCGCTATAAGAAACTCAGATTTAACGTGCAAACTAGATTAATTCGTGCCGCGTTATATGGAAACCGCGCTATAAGAGACTGAATCAGATTGATTCGTACCGCGTTATATTCATTGGCTTAACGGCCCGCCAAATATTTTCGAACGGAATTAAGATTACCCTGGATTAAAGATATTTAGTTATTTCGGCAGTTTCCAACGACGCGATAATTTTATCGTGCAACTGACACGAGTGTTCACCGAATTCACGCCGATTGGAATAAAACGCTTACTTTCTGGAATTGTAACAAAATTTGTAATTAATTAAGGATGTCTTTTTTTTAGGAATTACGTTTACATGTTGGAAGAGAGGTTTAATTATGAAATAATTTATATTCTTCCAACAACATGATAGACAAAGAATAATGAAAGTGTAACAAGGGTTGGATTGAAAATGACAGGATTACAAAGCTTACACCTTAAAGTCGATATTAATTACCCTGGGTTTAAGCCTGTCGAATCGTGACAGGTGATAAGGTCAGTGATCGAAATCAATGGCTTTACAAATTTATAGTGGTCCCTATCTACAGATTATCGTTATCGCGTCCAATGACTCAGAAATATTGCCTCTCGCGCAATTATCAGCGCTGATAACGCAACACTCTACGTTATTTATTTTCACGGTGTTTTTCAAATTTAAAGTTACGAGCGTCGGATCTCTTTTATCTGAAATTATCGACACCTTGCAACTTGGAATTCGTCGATGTAACAACGTTATTTATTTACACGCTGTTTTTTAAACATTTCAAGTTACGAGCGTCGGATCTCTTTTGTCTAAAATTGTCGACAGCTTGCAACTTCGAATTTGTCAATATATTTCCCGTCACAATTAGCGTAATAAAATACGCGAACAGTCTTTTTTTTTATAACATCGTCCATTTTTCTTTTCAGGATAAACTACGACACAGTAATTGAAAGTACAGTAAAGCAACATTGATTGAACGTAATTTAAAAGCGCCAACATAGTCAATTTCGAATACAATTATTAAACTGCTGATTCTCACGCATTCACGGAAAATTTTAAAACACAGAATGCACGTAATAAGCAAAGATATACAAACAAATCCCAAGTACGGTAAAACATTTACCTATCTAGCTTCAATTTTTTTAATTACATTCAGAAAAACCCTCGGTCTAATAATTACACCGAATTATTGCGGGAGATGACTAAAATTCGCCAGAAAATTTCCACAAAAACATATAAACAAACCCCAAACATAGTAAAACATTTACTTATCTAACTTCAATTTTTCAATTACATCGACGAAAACCCTCGGTCTAATAATTCCATCGAATTATTGCGGGAGGTGACTGAAATTGGCCAGAAATTTTCCACAAAAATACGCACTTCGATAAAACAGTCCATCGAATGATAAAAAAGGAAGAGAGTGACACAATATGATCGAATGAAAACGAATCAACACATCGTTCGATTCAATCGATTTCGTCCAATTGTTCCAACAATAGCACAACTCGTGTAAGCTCGTCGTCGGTGATGTGTTCCAGAAGCGAGAGAACGAGGCAAGAAAAAAGGAACTTGTCGACGATGTCTTCCTTCAATCTTTCACAGTCCACGTCTGGATATTCCGATCTGACAGCGTCGACGTACAACGTCAAAATTTCCTGCACCTTCGACGGTCCGTTTTCGTGCGTGACGTTGTAGAGGAGAACTGGCCCGAGATCGACGGCCGGCGAACAGTATCTCATTGTTTGCCAGTCGATCACCTTCGCTTCGATCGGCTTCCCGTTCTGGTATTTGAACAGCAGATTATCGTGTGAAAAATGACCGTGGCATATCGTGGAAACGTCGTTCACCTCTGTCGCGACGTTCTTCACTATTTCCAGCGTGCTCTTGTTCAACCTGTTCCGCACTTTTTCCACGAAGCTCGTATTAGTCGACGATTCGACGATGTCCATCATCCTGTAATTAAACGGTCGGACGTTTAGTTTGTTGAGTAGGATATAGTGTGAAGTTGATGTGGTCTTTTCAATGCGAATTTCAGTTACTCGGAAGTGTTGTATTCCGCGGCTCGCGATTCCTTGCGTTGGTTTATTATTTTCAATAGGTACGCGGTAGGAGAGCCTGACGGAAACTGGGGCGAAATAAGGGAGCTATTCTGCGCGTAGTACTATTCGACTTTATTCGACAGTTCGGTGACGTTCGGTGCGTGAAGACCACTAGGCAGAAATCTGCTGTTTCGACGGAAAAGGTTTCTAGATATAGGTTCGGTAAGTACGAGAGTAGGGGTTGGTCTCAGAGGTGAATGTAGGGAGAGGCGGTGAGGTCTAGGTTCAGCGATGAGTAAAGGATGATGTGGAGGTCTAGGTTTCGGGGTGACTAACGTTAGGATGATGCGGATTTGTTTAGTTAAGGAAAGGAGGCAGGATGACTAAAAACTAACGAGAGATAGGAGAGAGGTATACGACAGGAAGCTGGAATGATTTAGTCCAGTTTTTGGGACTCGCGCTGGTTTATGACCCGCAGACCGAGTGGTCCCAACGCCTTGACACCCTCACGCGCTAAGGGCTGGGTCAGGTAAGGACCCCGAACCTGTGCCAGGGTTTCCCGGAGGCAAGAGAGGGGCGTCAAGGCACGTATATGTGAGATCAATTCGTCAGGAAAAAAAAGTATACACCGTCGCATAGCCAGCCCGAGCTTCGGCGCGCTACCTTCAACTGCCTTCTCGTCCCGGGGCCCGCGTGCCTCTTCTACGCTTCGCTTTTCGCTCACGCCACGCCGGTACGCGCCACACGTTCTCACGCGTGTCAGACCCGATCGCCGGCGGATCAGTCACCACAAGAGTATGGTCGAGCGAGTGTTGGGACTCGCGCTGGTTTATGACCCGCAGACCGAGTGGTCCCAACGCCTTGACACCCTCACGCGCTAAGGGCTGGGTCAGGTAAGGACCCCGAACCTGTGCCAGGGTTTCCCGGAGGCAAGAGAGGGGCGTCAAGGCACGTATATAAAGACGCGTTAAATAAGAATGGGGGAGATTGTATTGGAACGAATTAGGGAGCGACGGACGAATAAATAAATATAGTTTTTAATATCAGTTTAAAATATCATTTAGACCAGACAGCCCTTACACTTGTTTATGAATGAAAGAAATTTGATACGTTTTATTCGATGCAGTTAGAAATTTTGGGTTCTGAGTGGCTTATTTTTAATTGGAACAGCCATAGTTTAATGTAGGATATTTTTTCTCTTCTGGTATGTAAAGGGAAGGATTAGTTTATTAGATGATGTGTGACAAATTTTGAAAAAATTGCAATTTGAGTGTCAAAGTAGTTTCTTATGGATGAAAGAAATTTCACGAGTTGATGGTTCTGAGTGGCTCATTTTAAATTAGAACAGCCATAGTTCAATATAGTATATTTTTGCTTTTGTGGTATTAAAGAAAGAATAAAATAAATTGGCGGTACTTCTTATGTTTTATTTTTAAATTGGACCAAACTGCTTGAGTTTTTTAGTTTGAGAAATTAGAAGGATTAGTTTACTAGATGATGTACAGAAAAATTTTTGAAAAGATTTTCAAAGATTGTCACTTTCCACAACTTTTTATCTAAGCTTGTAGTGAAAACTTAAAACACGTTTTATAGACTATTTTATACTAAAGTAATCCTTCTAACTTCTCAAAAAAAAGAAAACTCAAGTCGTTTGGTCGAATTTAAAAAAAAGTGTTTCTGTTTCAAAGAGTGTGCCAATACTTTTTCACCCACTGTGCATAGAAATTTTTACCAAAATTCATTAAATTCCCTAAGACCCTCTCTATTTATGTCTTTCCATAAGCAACCACCATACACAAAAGTGACCATTACAGTTGAACAAAAATATATCGATAATTTCCTGTAATTTAAAATTAAGAAAACTGAGTGCCTGAAATACCTGAAATCGTCGCATTGTAACAGATTTGGGGTTATTCTAGCGTTGAGGTATAAAGAACTAGTAAAGAAACTCTCCGAAGAAAAAGGATATCTATTAAAGTCTACTCATCGCCTATTGATAAACTCTCGAAAACTTGTTTCCGCGAGACAACCGGTGATCTTGCAACGCGCGTGCTATATCTTCGAAAGACGTACTGACCTACCTACTGCACCTGTAGTATATGTACGTACATACAATAGAGTGCAGGGTACATAGTGACTGAGAATCGTGGAGAACAGTGCTCGAAAGGGAAGTTTTCAGCGCAGAGAGAATCCAGAGAGAAAAAGGAGGAGAGGTTTTCCAAAAGAAACTTTCGAAAAAGTTCCCAGCGATAGATTAGAATTTAGTAACCTCTCGTTCTACCTGATCAGAATTTAAAAGCAGTCGCTTATATTTATCACGTTAAAAGAAAAACTATCCACCTGCAGAATCTCGTCTAATTAAATAACACAAAATCTTTTATCGACCAAACGATTATAGCGTTTGTGAACGGTCAAATATTACACACATATACACATAGAAACGTGCGTGGAGAGATTTTCTAACAAACTGGCAATTAATGGATTCGCGTCAATCTGTTGATACACGAAACTCGATCAATTTTGGATTCTGTCCGCTTCAATTGTGTACCGATTATTCCGCTCGCGCGAAACTCGCAATACTGTTGCTACTGACATCGATAACGTCAATATTACCGCTACACCGCAACGCTAAATGTCGCGAAACGCCGACAAAGGGTATAATAATCGTTCGATATAATTCTCCCGCTTTTTGTCACGGTATTTCACTGTTCATTAAATCCCGCCACGTTTAATCCCCCTCGTCTCGTAACGCTAATTTTCCACGGTGTCCGTAGATCCAGCTGGAGAGAAAATGGAACGCTGTTTGTTTAACCCTTTAACGGAATTACCAACCTGGAATTAGCGATACTTAGCTGGAATCAAGAAGATTCACCGTCGTGTATATTCTCTATTTCACTGTTATCCCACTCGGTTTATCCACGTTTCTTCCGGATTTTTCTTCAAATGCTGGTTCAATCGAGAATCACAATGAAAATAGAAGATCTATGTAGATCACGGATGGCCATAGCGCGGCTCTTATGCAAATAAAATGTATGCGTGGAATATGGCTGACCGGGGGGAGGGAAGATCTGTGGGTGAACTTTAAAAAATTCAACTGATTTCTCATTGTTTGTTTTGTTATCGAAGATAAATAAATGGCTCTTTCGAATACTCCTTCCTGAGAAGAAAGAGACTGGAACCTAATTCATAGTCAAATCCAAAGATATTTCCATAAATTACGCGCTGTTAATCCAAAGAGATTCCCATAAATCAGGCGCTGTTATATGAAGGCGTAGTGCAATAATCCGCATTATAATTTAATTTAATTTAATTTAAGTCTAAATCTAAGTTAACTGGAATAAAAACAACAATGAAGATGTGAGTAGTGTAAGAGACAAAATAGCAATACATGTATAACCGGAAGCCCTCCTAAGCCGTAAGTAGTATGTATAATAAATAAGAATAAAAAATAAATAAAATACTCCTTCCTGAAACGTGGCTTGCAAAGGTAGCGTAGCTGGCCACCCTTGATCTAGATGGTTATTATGGCAATAGGGTGTATTAAGAATATCTTTAGAAAGCGTTATTTACGCCGTTCTTCTTTGCGCCTCTTGGTAAACACAAACAGGTCTTTGTTCTTTGCAGATCGTCAACGACTATCCGCGGTTTATGAAACTTGGTGGTCATAGACATGGTTCAGAGGCGAACCAATCTCACCCTGCGGAACGATTTGTTTTCTCGCTCAGCCGTGTAACTGCGCCAAGTGAATCAGCGGTATATAGATTTACCGGTGCACGGTGAGGTGAGAAAAAAGCTTGGTCATAGGAAAACCGAGAACAAATCCTTTCGACAAATATTCTCTGGAGAATGTTGAATATCGGTATACACGATGGCGCGAGAAACGCTATCTAGAGAAATCGAATCGAGTCGAGTGTCGATAATTCTTGTCGAACATGTGTTACAGGTGTAAAGCACATGTACGTGAACAATAGGTAGGAAGAAGTGACGATAATTGAAATATCTTGTAAGTTTCTTCGAGTCACTTTTAATTGATGCTTAAAAGACAAGCGTTTAACCCTTTAACTAGGAACGTCGTGTACACTATCGGCTAGAAATTTGGGATCACTGTGCGTTGAAATTTGAACAATTTTCTGTCGTTCAAATCAATCACTAAGAAGGAATCATAAGTCAAGGGGTTATACCTTCTCCTTCAAAAAAACATCGCAAAGGAAATCTATAGATCCTCAAATCTTCACACATTTCTCTAGCATTCATGTACACTTGGTATATCCAAATCAGTATAGCACAATATGTTTACTAAACTAAAAAAACACCCTAGTTATGCACACTATGAATAATTAAAGGATTAACCAAATTCTTAATTTATGCCATATTTGCTCCATAAAAAAGAAAAGACATCACAAGAGAATCCTACAAAACCCCTAAAATCTTCACGTATTTCTTTAGCATATACACTCGGTACATTAAAATCAGTATAGCCCAATACGTTTGAACTGAAAAGCACCCTAGTCATACACACTACGTACCAATTAAAAACGAATTAAAGGGTTAACCAAATTCCCAATTCCCATGAAATTTCCTTCCTCAAAAAAAAAAAAAAAAAAAAAGAAAAACACATCACAAGAGAATACTAAAAAACCCCCCAAAATCTTCGCACATTTCACCACAAACATTCTCGCATCCTCCCCGGAGAGAAACGGACCAATTTACCTGGTCGACCTCTTCTCGTATCGCATGATCGCCTCCTCGGTCAGACCGATCTCCAGCAGTTTCGCCTCGAATTCCCTGAAGACGCTCGGCTCGATCGCCCTCAATTTCAACCCTCTGGCATGGAACTTGGCTAGAACTTGCACGCACAATTTCAAGTGATCCTCGTCCAGTTCACCGTCCACCTGTGTGTATCCATCCGCTTCCAAGTCCTCCAGCACGATCACCGGTCTCCCGTAGCGACCTAGATCGGACAGGTAGCACTTGGGGACCAGATCCGTGCCGTACTTAGCCGTCATCTTCGTGTAGAACATTTCCTCGTTCTGGAAAGCGTCGTAAGCCGTGGTAGCTGCGTGTTCTGCTTCACCTTCGGGAAGTAGCTTCACCAGAAGATAGAACGTGCACGGCTCACCGGAGAATCGAACTACAACCGTGGTACGATAGATCTCGCTACTTCGGCTAAGTTCGTCCAGTCGAACCGTGGCTGTTTCGATCTCCACGAACTCCCGCGAATTTTCATCGCAGAAGCAACGATCTTGCACCATTTCCGGCAGCAAATCGTTCTCGATGAAGTCCATACTGCGCTCCCAAGCTGCGTGAGACTTCATCACGTTCTCCATGTGACACGATTAAAAATGATCACTCTCGTTACAGCTGCTTTCCTCCGGAGGATGACTCAACTAACAGATACCAAACAGACACAGAGGCACACACGGTGTTCGTGCGCAGAGAGAAATTGTACTGGTACGAGAAGTAGGAATAAAAGCTAGTTACATTCAGGTTATCTTAACTATCTCATTGAAATTGGAACAACCTGATAATTTCCTCGAATCGACGCCGATTACGAACGAGCCTTGAGTAACTGGAACACGAGTAACGGAGTAATCTTCGATGGTATCTTTTTCGTGGATTCGCTTGGTTCTTGCGAATGTACGCAGCGGTTCGACACGTCGATGATTCACCTAACCAGTTCTGTTTGCGGAATTCTCCACCATGTAAACGCACTTGTGACGGAAGGTTTTCTTCGTTCTTTCTTTCTTGTATTTTAAGAGGTCCCTTCGAGGATAGCGACGAATTCTACGGTGAATATGGACGTTTAACTTGGATGGAACAGTCGAAGAGAGAGATTGTTGGTTATCTGGAAGGGTTATGGATATGGGACGCGTGTCAAATCGGTCGCGATAAAGCGTCGTTTTATCGGTGAACCTTACGCAGATCGATGTTCGCGTCGCGACGAATCGGGCGCAAGTAACCGGCTTCAAGTACCGTTGGAAATGGTTACGCGTGCCGCGTCCCCTCGCGTGCAACATAATCAACCTCTTATCTTGTAATGACGTCACAAATAAGCTTGTGCCATGATACCAGACCGCGACAGACTTTGTCCACGAATTCGACGCGCAGATGCTTCGTCGATCTTCGTGCTCGGGCGAAGCTTTTGCGACAGACTGGAGCAATCTTTTTGGGTAGGACACTGGGTGATTTTATTTCGCTGGATTTTCGGGAAAGATGGATTCTTGGAGGGAGGTCAAGTTTGAAAATATCGATCGAAAAATCAAACGAGAGAATAAGCGATAGAACTTTTGTTAGGATTTTTCGATTGAAATTAAAGAGACACGGTATAATTTTATTTTGCTGGATTTTGTAGAAAAATGATGTTTTGTAGGGAGATAAAGTTTGAAAATACTGATTAAAAAATAAAATGAGAGAATAGGTGGTAGAATGATTTTGGTTAGGGTTTATTTTACTGAATTTTGAAGAAAGATGAATTAAAAATATTAATAGAAATACAGAAAGAGAAAAGAATTTAGATTAAGATGGAGAATTCTAGAGAAATGCAAATATAGAGTTTTCCATTGTTTAAACTTCTTTTAGACATAGTTTAGACGTAGTTTAAGCAGTGAGCTAAGAAATATCTTTATTCAATCAGGCCTTTATTTTCAAGTATCGTGAGTCACCGGTGACCCACGTACCATAAAACGACAATTAGAAAGGTAAACGTACAAAAGATTGCATAAGTTGTCTGATGCATCTTTATTTTACTAGCTCATTCTCGGTACGTCAATTGACAAGGTTTAAAAATAGTGATAAATTTCAGGATTTCGTGAATTATATTTAGGAATACCTATCGAAAATTTGACAAATTAATACACAGTTGGTAATTTTGTCACCTGAGTTTCAAAGATTTATACGCCTGTTTGCACGTTCTGTCGTTTAATTAATTCAACGAAGTCAACGATGGAAAATTAGATAATAACAGCTGGGGACGCAGCAATTATAATAATAAGGAAATCTTCTGCAACTCGACTCGTTGAATTTCACGGGGCCTTTGGAGCGTAACGATCCAATGAAAAAGCTCCTCCGAGTGATTTTAATTCTAACGCGATTACTTTGCTAAATTTCCAACTAAACGGAGTACGCCCTTTGTC